AAGACAAGCTATATTTATTTTGGAAAGGGGGCTGCTCTTTGGCACAACCCATGCAGCTCTGATTCTTTCAAACATTATGCCAAACAAACCATTGTTTGTTGTGATGAGAATGACCCTAGGTAAGCCCCAGGGTCATATCTTCCCCTATGTCTAGTAGAGCTTCAAATGTCAGTTTTCTCTTCCAATATTAATTCATTAATTCATTAATTCATTCAATTTGTATAGCTGCCCATTTCAAACAAGTGACTGGGCAACGAACAATCATAAAACCAATTACAGTAACCAATTAACAATACAAAAAGAAAAATTAAATACATATAGCAGCCAAGAAATATTATAATCCATAGGTGTTAGCATAACCAGGAAACAGGAAACAGGCCTGGGCACACAACCAGGTCTTCAAGGCCTTCTTAAAGGCCAAAAGAGTTGGGGCCATCCTAATCTCAGGAGGGAAGGTATTCCAGAGGGCACATCCAGAGGGCAGGCGCTAAGGCAGAGAAGACACAAAATAGGGGCCGTGGGCTGGACCTCTCCCCACCATCGACACCACTGGAACCAACTCCAGAGGAAGGAGGAGAACCAGCACAACACAGTGCCGCCCACCTCCAACTCCTGAAGCCAGTCCAGAAGGATACCATGATCCATGGTACTGAAGGCTGCTGAGACGTCAAGAAGAGAAAGGATGGATACGCTACCTCCATCCCGCTCCTGCCAGAGGTCATCCAGCAGCATGATCGATGCCATCAATGCCATCTCAGTCCCATACCCTGGCCTGAATCCTGACTGAAAGGGGTCCAGATAATCCACTTCATCCAGAGCCCTTTGAAGCTGCTGTGGGACCATCCCCTCCCTCAAGAAAGAATTAACCACTGCCTAGACCCAGTCATGCATCCTGTCCCAGGCAGCCTTGAGTATATTAACGACAACTCATTGCTCAAGCCTTATAAATTGTAAACTGATTGTAAATTACAGTTTATTTGAAACCGTCAAGTTCAGATCATGGTGATACAGCTTGATGCAGACCTCTTCTTCAACATATTTTCCCTTGTATATTCAATTAACTTGTGGGCAATTGCATACGAAGATTTGAAGTGTGGCAAATGAGGAAATCAGGCTGGGCTTAGGATTCCACTTTGCTTTTTTGTAATATTTGGACTTGGGAGGAAAATCTCTGAAGATTAACCACAGTTAAGCACTTGGTTACAATACTAAACTGTAGTTAATCGAAAACTGAAGCAAAAGATTCTAATTGCTTGCAGGTACGTTGCAAAGCTTAACATTTACCCATGCTGGTCTCCCTGAAAATAAAGCATAAATGCAGCCAGTATGTTTCACATAGGTACATCATTATAATCCATATCATGGTTTACTAGCTTAGCTTATCTAGCTGTGGGAACTCAGTCTATATTGTAACAAAGCTGGGCTAAACTCTTGTGGCTGCAGGGTGCAAACCTAGCCCCTGAGATTTTTCAGAGTGTCCCAATAATTAAATCTGAACACAAATCGTTATTTTGACTACACTCTCCTCTCAAATTTAAAATAAGGCACCTACACAAGCTCTTTAACCTTGTAATCATTTATTAATCCATCCAAGCAACCAAAGGCTATTTTTCCAAAATGATCTTTTTCTTGGGTGGAAGAGAAGTTTTCCTGAAGTCTTTATCATGTTGGGTGATTAGAGAGCAACGTTTAATTTTATTCAGGGAGCTGAAGATGAAATTATAGAATCCTAATTTGGACATGATTCTACAAAATGTGGTTTATAATAACTGCTCTAAAATCTTCAACTGCAGAGTGGTCAATATTAATGATTAACATTAGCAGGAATATTGAAAACAAAATGTATTCTTCCAATTAAAGAAATAAGCATGTACATTTATTTGCAAGAGTCACGTCTAGCTCAATAAAAGAGCAATACAAGAATTCTGAAAAGATGAATAGTACTTATTCTTTGTATTATTCAAAATAAGCCATTTATTTTCTTGCCACATAGACAAGCAATAAGGCATTCTTAGATGGTTCCACTATGACTGATATTCTGCTGTCTCCGTGGGATTTGTATATTTTAAAATTTTTGATAGTATTTTCATTTTAATAATTATTTTTTTATCTTTTTATAATGATTGGTTTTTTTTAATCTATTCACTGCTTTATTTAATTGTTGTACACTGCCCAGAGTTGCTTTGTATGAGATGGGCGGCTATATAAATGTGACACATAAGTAAGTAAATAAATAAATAAAATAGCGGAGCAAATAGGCCTTTATAAAAGGTGACTAAGCAAAGTATAAATGCTGTGCATTTGTGCGTGGAAGCAAAGGAATTAAGTAAAAGCTGAGCGATTGCTCAACACCAAAAGTATGACTAGATAACTGCTGAAGCAACGTTAGCCAACTCAGTTGCGATGACCTTATGGCAAATAAAACGTTCAAGCATTCTAACAGAATGCTGAAAAATAGGCTCCATTTTAAAGTGTGAAACCGTGCCCAAAATTCCACAGTGCAAATTGTGTACAAATTGTACCTATTATGCAACATACATATAGAGACACACATACAGTACACACATATATCATTGTCTTCTGCGTCTGGCTGTTGCTCAGAGAATGATGGGAAATTTTCCAGTTAAGAGAGACACAAATCTCTGCCAAAAAAGGTACATAGAAAGAATCACCAATCACAGCATGCTTGAACAGTTATTCAACGACTGAAAATAAATAGGAAAATGGCACATTTCCTTACAAGGTATATTAGTATTTGGCCAGGATTCTGACAGGATTGTGTATGAACATGGAAGGAGCCCAGGTCACCACGGGGTTCCTTTTCTACTGGGGGCAACTGAAGTCTTGAAGCTTTGAAGCTGTTAAGGAAGCTGAAGCACTGGTGGGCCATTTTTCATCTACCCAATGACGCTTAACAGGGCGATTCAAATTAGAACTTAGGTGGAGCTTGACTGAAGTCCACACTTAGGGTCAGCATTGAGGGTTAGCAGTTGTAGCCTGCAGGACTGGCTCAGAGTGTGGGGGACAAGCAGTCCAGTGGGACTGAAGGGGAGGTGTGCCCCCTTGGCCTTCTGAAATTAGGATGAAATTGGTGAGAGAAATTCAGAAAGGCCAGTGATTTGGGATAAGCAGGAAGCCAGGTTGCAAGAAAAAAAGGCTGGGTTCAGACAACACACTTGGGAACTGAATTAACCCTTGTTTCCATTACATGAACCAAATAAACAAAAATTCCAGAATCCATTACATGAACCAAATAAACAAAAGACTAGAGCAGCCATGAAGGCCTTGGAAAAAAATATTCAGATGCCGTGATGTGTCTATACCTACAAAGATCAGAATAGTGCAAGCCATGGGATTCTCTGTTCCATCTCTATGGAAGTGAAAGTTGGACTTTGAAGAAGCAGGATAGGAAGAGTATTGACACTTCTGAACTTTGGCGTTGGAGAAGACTTCTTAGAATACTGTAGGCAACCAAGAAAACAAACTAATCGATCATTGAACAAATCAACCCAAGAGTTCTCACTTGAGGGACAAATGACCAGGCTCAAATTATCCTACTTCAGACACATTATGTGAAGACCCAGTTCTTTGGAAAAGGCTATTATGCTGGGAAAGGTGAAAGAAAAGAGAAGAGGACGAGCAGCAGCAAGATTCAGTATGTTAGAAGAGCTGAAGGACCAGGTTAGGGACAGATCATCATAGAGAAAATCTATGTTGCTAAGAGTTGACACCAACTGGATGGCATGTAATCAATTAATCAGCATGAAGATCTAGCTCTCTTGAAAAGTCTATAATGCTGGGAAAGATGGAAAGAAAGAAAAGAAGAGGATGTCCAGCAGCAAGGGAGATGGAATCAATTACAGTAGTGATGAGTACACTGACAGAAGAGCTGACGAAGCAGGTTAGTGACAGATCATCATGGAGAAAATCTATCTATGTGGTCACTTGGAGTTGAAAACGACTTGATGGCATCATCACAGAACAGAGCAAGGTGCCGAAATGAGGAAGAAAATCCCAGCCAAGGTTAAAGTTCACCAGCTTAGTATTGTGCTCAGAGGTAACTTTTAACAGGTCAAGTGGGTGGTTGGAAAACAACTAGCAGCATGGGAGGACCTGGGGATCAAAGACCATGTTTTGTAGAGAAGTCCCTCAGATACAAACTCTAGGGTGGAAGGTTTACCAAATGTGTCCTTAGGATCAGTGAAGTAGCCAGTCTTCTTTGGCCTGCAACTCAATCGCTTAGGGACCAAAAGGCCCCACCAGAGTAATCTGAGACTTGTCTCCAACCCAACATTTTTGCCATGTAACCCTTTTTGCTCAGCTCTGCACATCAGTCCTTCCCTTTACCCTGGTGTTTACTACTTGGGGCCTGGTGCGAAAAATAATCAATCTGGTTTGCACAATGGATGAAACCCCCATTTGGTTAATGATGGTTTGCTGAGTACACTAGATGGATTCACTGATGTCCCCAAGCCATCAGTCAACCAAACCATAACAGCAAGGTTTAAATAATCCAAATGGCTTAAGTATGTTGTGTGAACACCTTGATTACATATGCAGTAGGTTAGGGCTAAGGCACTTTTAACCCTCCAGATATCCTCTGCCTGGACTCTGAATCCCCCAAGCACAGCCAGAGATGACTTGGGCCAGAATCCAAACAGAGATGGGCATTGCAAGAGGATGCATTGATCTCCTCCATCCTTGGAAACTTCGGAGACTTTGCGCCAGCCCCTCTGTCAGCCTGACCTGCCTCACAGGGTTGTCGTGGGGGAGAGGAATAAACTTCAGGGACCAGCCTTGAGCTTGTCGGGG